TTATCAGATCCGTTGCAGCCCCTTTTTTAGAGATTTGGGTATGGAGGAAAATAGAGAGGGTTGTGTTTTCTGACACTTGGTGAGTTCCCTGGAACACCATATTCATGTATAAAAGACGTACAAAAGTGCATTTTGCATGATAGGTCCCCTTTAAGTAAAGTCAACTTATTACGATTTATAGTGTACAGTACAATGCATAATCAATGTATCAACATGAATTTGAAATCACATGAACATTTACCAAATGATACAGAGCTGATTCTTTGTTTTTTTAAGCACAAAACTTGATTGGAAATTAAAAGGGGAAATAAATGGAATTGGTTTACATGTTTGAATAAATAGTGTACATCACATATCATTTTTAGAACCATCTGGAGCATTGCACCACCAGCCTGAACCGTTGACACAATGCAGGATGGATCCATGGCTTCATTTTGTTCACGCCAAATTCTGACCAGCAGCAGACATGGAGATTTGTCAGAACAGGCGCTGTTTTTGAAATCTTCTCTCCAGTTTCTGTGAGCCAGGAGTAAAACCTGTGTGTTCTCCGTCTTTTTTTGGTTAATCTTAACATCATTCCAGTGAAGGCATGATGTTAAGATTAACCAAAATTGGTGAGGTGTATATTGTTGATGTTCTGCTTTTAAAACATAACATAGAAACAGCAGGAAGGAAGGATACACTCCAGAAATATCTTTTCATCTTTTTTATTGTAGCATGGAAATAATGAGGATGATGATGATGATGATGATGATGATGATGATGATGATGATGATGATGATGATGATGATGATGATGGTGATGATGATGGTGATGATGATGATGCTATGTTCAGGCAAATAAAAACAATTTTTTTTACAAATTCCAATTTGATCACAACAAATATATATAACATTTTGAAAATAAATAAAAAATGCAGTGAAGAAGTGTTTCACATATTATCCACAGTACAATGTATCAACATGAATTTGAAATCACATTAATATTTACCAACTTGATTGGAAATTGAAAGGGGGAAATAAATGGAATTGGTTTACATGTTTGATTAAATAATGTACAACACATATCATTTTTAGAACCATTTTTAGAACCAACTTAAAAAGCTAATGAAGCTAAATTAACTTGCATGTGTCACCCTGTCCCAAATCTAGGATAGCTAATTTAAAGTTCTCCTATCATGCTATCTTTAGGCATATATTATGGGTCTCAGATATATAAAAATATATAAAAAAACATGTCTATGATGCGTTTTGCTCAAAATACCAAACAGATCATGCATTTTAGACATCCCTCGTATCCCTCTATTTCAGCCCTGTTAGAAGTGCTGATTCTGGGTCTAAAGCTTTATAAAAAAAAAAATAAAAAAAGGGGAGGGGGAGCTTATGCTGAGTATCTGATCAGGAGAATTCTACCCAGATACAACTAAATGCTGCCGTGATTAAACGCCATATCATGTTCAAAACCACATTAAGGATTATTTCTGAAACAGTATGGAGCTCAAATGCTTTTTCTCTTGCTGGTTTACCACAAGGTGAGTACCTTTTTATATCCTGATTTTTTACACTTAGGCTCAATCCCAAACCACTCCCTCGACCCTACCCCTCCGTGGCGGAGTGAACTCCGTCTGTAGCCACACTCGCAGCTCAACGAGGCTCCCTCCTGTCAGATGGAGGGAGTAAATACAGCGGCAAGCTTTGGGACAAACTCCCCTCTCTCCGGCAGAAACAGGAAATGCCGTAACTGTATGTAACAACGGTTTCAAATCAGCATCTCTTAGACAAAAAATGTAAATTAATAACTCAAATAAAACTCCAAACATCTTTCATTGTGTTACTTTTTTGTAAAGCTCTTTTAGTTTTAAACCTGATGTTTATAAGCTTCTTAGTTTTTGCGACAGTCTGTAAATATACACAACTTTATAATAAAATGCACACATTTACCTTTTTCTAGACTAAACACAGGTATGATCCTAAGTTAAAAAAATATGAGGTTATCATGAGGTTGTTAACATCGCAATTTATCAGTGGATGTTTGCTGGAACTACTTGTAAACAGGGAGAGACCGGTCTCAAGTCAGCACCGATGCAGACTCGCTGTTTGAGGGCTTGACAGCCCACTCCCCCTCCACACCGCTCCACACTCGTTGGTTTGGAACAGCACTTAATGTGGTGGACCCTCCACGCGAACGCGCAAACGGAGGGGTAGTGTGTAGGGGTAGGGTGTAGGGGGCGGTTTGGGATTGGGCCTTACTCTCTCCAGTACAGGTTAGCTCCGAGTGTGAGCGATGCTTGCTAATGTAAACAAAGACCATATTACTTCCAAAACACGTCGCGCATTGTTTCTGATAGCGACGTTTCTGATAGGGCCGTGGGTGTAAAGCCAGCCCACATTTCCGATATTACGTCATGTTGCCAGCAAATCTGGATCAGCTCCGTTGTACCCCCGTCTTTAGAGATTTGGGTACGGAGGAAAAGAGAGAGGGTTTTGTTTTCTGACACTTTGTGAGTTATATCTCTCACAGGCTCCGCCCTCTACTGGATTCTATGGGTACTCCCATGTATCCTATCCGTGCACGCATTCCTTCACTGAGACTTTCCTAGACGTAGCCGGCCCCTGGGCGGGCCTACCTGAATGCGGCCTCGCCTCCTCACTGCCATCCCTTTCTCTTCAGCGAAGCAGCATAAGTAAGTGAGTGAAGAGAGACGGACAAAGAGAAGAAAAAAAGCTTTTTCAAGAAAACGAACAATGGACTCACCTGTGGAGCGCCCTTGTCCTTCGTGTCCGGGCTCCATCGAGGGTGACGACCCCCATACCCGGTGTATCGAGTGTCTGGGGTCCGACCACGCGACGGCTAACCTGCCTCCATCAGCAGTCTGCAGCGCCTGTCGATTATTGCCTCGCTCCAGCCGCCTTCAGAGGTTGGTGCTGTTCGAGGGGTGCTACGTCTTGCCGGTGGAGGACCCAGAGCTCGACGTGGTGGAGATTGAGGACCTCGAGCAGGGAGTGCCCTTCGTCTTCGCCATCCCAGCAGCCCGGACGGGTCCGGGCGTCGGAGAGAGGGACGATGATGAAGACACCTCGTCGTCCGGGATCTCCGGTGACCGCCAGGAAGGCCATCAGCAGAACAGGTCTGCACGTCAGGACTTCTCGGCGGTAATGGCTATGGCGGCAGAGCGTGCAGGCTTGCCGCTCCCCCCACCAGTACCTCCGAGGCCGGAGAGCCGTCTGAGTCAAGGTTTTTACGGCCCGGGCCGTCCAGCACAGCCGGCCTTCGTTTCACCCCCCCTGCCAAACATCTGGCAGGGGAGGCCACGTGGCGGCAGCCACTGAGAACGAAGGCTCCGGTGGCTACTTGGGTGGGAATCCTCAGAGTGGAGGGCCACTCGGACACGGAGTGTCCCGGTGTGCCACCACTGGAGGATAGCCTAGCGGCCCATCTGCTTCCGCAGACAGCTGGGTGGGCAGAGGGGAGAAGGCCCCTGCCCCCGCTGTCGCGTGACCGCGAAATGCTTGAATATCTGGATAAGTCGGCCAATGTGTTGGAAGTGTCGCTGATTTCCCTCAGCAGGACACTCCCGCCCCCCCGTCTGAGGACGGGAGTGATTATTCGGACCGCTGCGTGGGTGATGGCCCTGACCACCGTGGCGTCGCGTCACGTGTGGTTAGGTTTGACCGCACTGACCAGAAAGGACCGGGATGATCTCCTTGGGGCCCCCGTTGCCACGGAAGGGCTCTTTGGATCGATAGCCTCGGTCACCCAGCGCTTCAACCGCCTGGAGGGAGAAAGGGCACAGCTCAGCCGCATGTTGCCGCTGGCTCACCCTCAGGTCCCTCCGCAAGGGGGAGTGCGCCCGGCGGTGGTAAGGCGCGAGAGAGGCGTCGGGTTAGAGCTCCGAGAGCGCCCTCTGCCTTCGCGGTCCGTCCTGAGGTACCGGGTCAGTACCGGCCCCTGCCGGGACAGACTGATAGAATCCGGCGGGCTCCTGCTCCGGCGGGCTCCTGCTCCGGCGGGCTCCTGCTCCGGCCCTCGCTCCGGTTCCGCCTCGATTCCGCCCAGCCATTTTTTAACGGTAAGGTTTTTGATTATTGAACAGTAACATACCAGTTATTGTTCTGTCCCTCCAAGTCGGCACTCCGGCTATCGAGGATGGACCCTTCTCTCCCTCACACCAGAGGAGACGGAGGCTCTGAGGCTCGACTTTGCGGCTGCGGGTATAAAATATCGAGCACGGACTCACACCAGGTCTGCTCGTCCTGCCTTGGGCTGGAACATGCCCGGAAAGCTATCGACGCCCCCGGTTCGTGCGGACACTGTGCCCGCTTCACCGTCAAGAGCCTCTGAAACAGAAATGCTGATGATCCATGCAGCTGCACAGCTCAATGCTGCAAACCTCTGCCTCCGTACTTTGTTTCTTGGCATGTTGTGCAGCACCACAGTTATGAAACGGTCCACAGTCATGGCAGTCAGTAGAATGATGCTACTGTTCAAACCAACAATCTCTGTCACAGCCACAAATGTGCACGCAAAATTACCAAAGACCCACTCCTGCAGCAGCAGAGAGAAGGCCCAGAATGGAAGTGTGACTGTGATCATCAAATCAGAGCAGGCAAGGTAAAGGACAAATAGATATGTGACATTTTTTAAGTTCTCATAGAGAAAGAGGACATATAAGAGGAGGAAGTTTCCTATGATACTGAGGATGAAGATCAAAATGTATGAGTAGATTTCAAAGGTTTCCAAGTCAAGCAGCAACTTAAAGACTTCAGAGCAGTAGTTTTTACCTCTGTTCACTGTGGAGTTGTTGAATGCCATTGTACGTTGTATTCTGGGAAACATAAGCAGAAAACAAAAATGTGCAAAGTGTAATTATAAGTGAGAAGATGACCCTAAGTTTTAAAAAGTAATTCCTAGAAAAACAGAACAATATGGAAAACAATTATATAGTTAGAACATCACCATTAAATATGGAAAGCAATTAAAGTAAATATTAAGCAACTTACCCTGAACAACGACTGTCACTTCATGTGGTGAGTTTCCCTGTGACGGAGAAGTTGTGTGATATAAGATCAAACTAATGAAGAAGCTCCTCCTTTGGTTTCACATAATCAGAGGTGATGCATCATCATTACAGTTTAAGAATGAATATATAGGTTTACAAAAAATGGTGACATGTGTTCTACTTTTCTAACATTATCAAAGAGCAGGAAATAGACACTCCAGAAATATCTGTTGCTCTATTTTATTGTAAAGCATGAAAGTGATAATGATATTATTATCAAAGAAAAACAAACACATTTCTGTTACAAATTCAACATTGTTCGAAATAAAACATTTTACTTTTGTGATTGCAAGAATCTTAAAGGTGACGATATAAACAACTGACATAAATGGTTTAATAGGAAAACATAAAATAAAATGCAGTAAAACACAGTGTCTCACATATTATATGCAGTATAATGTAATCTATGATCAATGTTTCAATAAGAACTTGATTTCACATAAATATGATCAAAATGATACGGAGCTGATTGTCCTTTTGTAAAAGCACAGTTTGATTGGATATTAAAAGATCAAATAAGCGGATTTGGTTAAAAAGTATGGTTAGATATTGTAGATTACATATAATGCTTGGAACAATTCATTTTCTTACAGAGTCAATGGGTTTATTACAACAAATTCGAGACAACGTCTACTCTGGGATATGACTGCTTATACTGCTGGTATTCAAACAGTGTTCAGTTGGTGTGTAAGGGCCCAACATGTGCCAACAAAATATCCCAGAGAGCATTGCACCACCAGCCTGAACCGTTGACTTAATGCAGGATGGATCCATGGCTTCATGTTGTTCACGCCAAATTCTGACCAGCAGCAGACATGGAGATTTGTCAGAACAGGCGCCGTGTTTGAAATCTTCTCTCCAGTTTCTGTGAGCCAGGAGTAAAACCTGTGTGTTCTCCGTCTGCTGTATGCCCTCAAACTTTAGCATTTAAGTTACTGCCACCTTTCTGTCAGCTTGCACCACTTTATTCTCCTCTGACCTCTCTCAGTAATAAGAGAGCAAACTAATGAAGAAGCTCCTCCTTTGGTTTCATATTAATCAGAGGTGTTGCTTCATCATTCCAGTAAAGGCATGAATATTTTTAGATTAACCACAATTGGTGACGTGTATATTGTTGATGTTCTGCTTTAGAACATAATCTCGAAACAGAAGAAAGGAAGGATACACCCCAGAAATATGTTTTGATCAATTTTATTGTAGCATGGAAATAATAGTGATGATGATGATGAAATGTTCAAGCAAATATAAACACACATTTTTGACAAATGATATAACATTTTGAAAATAAATGATGTTCTGTTTTGTTTGCAAGACTCCTAAAGGTGACAATATAACAACTACAGTAACAACTGAGATAGATGATTTAATATGAAACCATTAAGTAAAATGCAGTGAAGAAGTGTTTCACATATTACCTACAGTACAATGCATAATCAATGTATCAACATGAATTTGAAATCACATGAACATATACCAAATGATACAGATCTGATCACATGTACTTTTTAGAACCATTTTTGGAACCAACTCATTTTTAGAACCATCTTACAAAGCTAATGAAGCTAAATAAACTCTCATGTGTCACCCTGTCCCAAATCTAGGATAGCAAATGTAAAAAGAATACTGAGAAAGCGTAAACTGACATGTTAGGTCTACATTTATAGAGACTTACATTAAAGTAGTCCCCTTAATATCATTATGGAAATGTGAACACTATAGGTTAAGTTAGTTCAAAACAAATATTATACCAAGTATTAATTGATGTTTTCATTTTAGCGATGAATGTTTAGCTGCAGGTTGGTTCCAACACAACAGCAGAGCTTTGTGCTTTAAAAGCTACGTTCTGCTTAACAGAAGAGCCAGTGGTTCTCTTTCTGTCTCTCACCCTCCTGACTTTCTTGCAGCTAAAAAGATCCAAAAGATGCTTTCGCCACTTTTCTGAGAGCATATACAGAATAGGGTTCATGACGCAGTGAGAAGCAGCAAGTACCAGACAAATACTATAGGCAATATTCACACGTTTCCTTGCATAACAGCTTTTAGGTTTATAGAAGGACTTGATTATAGACATAATCACGTAAGGTACCCAGCAGATGATGAAGGCAGCAACTATACATAACACCACCACTACTGTCCTGTGCTTTCTTCTGTTTGAAGCCTGCAACACTATCTTGAGGATGGCAGAATAGCAGAAAACAATGATGGATAACGGAAAGAAGAAGAGCAGAAGCACTGCAAGTTTAAAACCATAGTGCACATAAGATGTCGAACACACCGAACGACCATCCTTCTCTTCCACCGTGACTCTAGTAGCAGCATATACAGAAACAGAAATGCTGATGATCCATGCAGCTGCACAGCTCAATGCTGCAAACCTCTGCCTCCTTACTTTGTTTCTTGGCATGTTGTGCAGCACCACAGTTATGAAACGGTCCACAGTCATGGCAGTCAGTAGAATGACGCTACTGTACCTACCAACAATCTGTGCCGATTTCACAAAAGTGCAGGCAAAATGACCAAAGAACCAGTTCTGCAGCAGCCGATCGACGGCCCTGAATGGAAGTGTGACTGTGATCATCAAATCGGAGCAGGCAAGGTTCAGGACAAATAGATTTGTGACATTTTTTAAGTTCTCATAGAGAAAGAGGAAATATAAGAGGAGGCAGTTTCCTATGATACTGAGGATGAAGATCAACATGTATGAGGAGCCTCTCAAGGTTTCCATGACAAACACCATCTCACAGTCTTCATCTCTGAACATGTAGTCTTCATATTCGAAGTTCACTGTGGAGTTGCTGAATGCCATTGTACGTTGTTTTCTGGGAAACATAAGCAGAAAAATGTAATTGGCAAATTGAGCAGATGTCTTTAACCTTCAGTAAAATGTAGTTTTAAAAAGTAATTCTTAGAAAAACAGATCAATATGGAAAACAATTATATAGTTAGAACATCACCATTAAATATGGAAAGCAATTACAGTAAATATTAAGCAACTTACCCTGATCAACGACTGTCACTTCATGTGGTGAGTTTCACAGTGACGGAGAATTGTTCAATAAAAGAGGAAACTAATGAAGAAGCTCCTCCTTTGGCTTCCTATTAATCAGAGGTGATGCATCATCATTCCAGTTTAAGAATGGATATATATATTTCCTAAAAATGGTGACATGTGTTCTACTTTTCTAACATTATCTAAGAGCAGGAAATAGACACTCCAGACATATTTGTTGCTCAATTTGATTGTAAAGCATGAAAGTGATAATGATATTATTATCAATGAAAAATAAACACATTTCTGTTACAAATTCAACATTGTTCGAAATAAAAAATTTTACTTTTGTAATTGCAATAATGTTAAAGGTGATGATATATACAACTGACATAAATTGTTTAATAGGGAAACATAAAGTAAAATGCAGTAAAACACAGTGTATCACATATTATCTGCAGTATAATGTAATCTATGATCAATGTTTCAATAAGAACTTGATTTCACATAAATATGATCAAAATGATACGGAGCTGATTGTCCTTTTGTAAAAGCACAGTTTGATAGGATATTAAATGTCACAACTGAAGTGGGCCAGTTGAAGTTAGAATTTAAATGTCACAACTGAAGTGGGCCAGTTGAATTTAGAATTTAAATGTCACAACTGAAGTGGGCCAGTTGAAGTTAGAATTTAAATGTCACAACTGAAGTAGGCCAGTTGAGGTTAGAATGTAAATGTCACAACTGAGGTGGGCCAGTTGAAGTTAGAATGTAATGTCATAACTGAAGTGGGCCAGTTGAATTTAGAATTTAAATGTCACAACTGAAGTGGGCCAGTTGAAGTTAGAATTTAAATGTCACAACTGCAGTGTTAATTTTGGCAGCTGTTTTTGATTTAGTCTTAGTCTTAGTCTTTAGACGAAAATGGTTATTAGTTTTAGTCACATTTTAGTCATTTCTATCCTTCATAGTTTTAGTCTAGTTTTAGTCTAGTTTTAGTCGACGAAAACTCAAAACGTTTTAGTCTACTTTTAGTCGATGAAAAATTACATTTTAGTCAACTTTTAGTCAAAATGTTTTCTCTCTTTAAACCAATTCAGTTAGGCAAATACAGGTATCTGAAATTGTAATCAAGGTGACAGCATCAAGTGTTGAAATTCGTAAAGCAACATTTCACTCTCTTAACACTTTACTTGTGTAATATCTAGGGCTGGGTATCGTTAAGGTTTTCTACGGTACTACTAGTCTTATCGATACTGCTTATTGATCCGGTACTTTAACGGTATTCTTGTATTTACTTTTTGTTATTTTTTAAAGGAAAAAACTAACAAATTGTTAACCGAATTAATTGCTTTATTTAAATGTGAAATAAATGAAAAATATATAATTATGTTAAAATATTGTAGGCTACTGTACTTGAGTAAAATGTTGAGGTACTTGTACTTTACTGGAGTATTTAAATGTTTTGCTACTGTGTACTTCTACTCCACTACAGTTCATAGTTAAATGGTGTTCTTCTACTCCACTACATGTATTTAATACCTTTAGTTACTTTACAGATGTGGATGAATGATGTGAAATATAATCAAGTGTTAACTCAGACTTTAGTTCCACCTGGAGTAAATCCACAAGCTACCCTGCAGTATACAAAGTCATTCAAACTAGCTGCACCTTTACCAGCTTTGAGAACACTTTAATGATCAATCATTATAAAACATATCATATATTATTCTGAAATGGACCAATCTGCACAATGACTACTTTTACTGTCGCTACTTTCACTATATTTTGATGATCATACTTTGACTTGAGGAACTCTTTCTACACTATGGTATTTTTTTACTTAGCTACAAGATCTGAGTAGGCTACTTCTCCCACCTCTGCACACCTGATGTGATAACGTTACTCGTAATTGGGGCAACAGAGCTACGAGTTAAGGAAGTCGAAAATTGTGCATTTCTCCGATTGAAT